ACTTTCAAATTTTAATTTACACCCCTTACCCTAATATAAAAATCCTGTTTGTTAATTGTTATAGAGTTTCTTCTTCTTCCCATTTTTCTTCGGTTGATAAAAGTGAGCATGTGTCTAAGTGTGTGTGTGTGTTTGTATAAAGTAAATTATGCCAACCAGGTAAAATGTATCAGGTGTCTGATGATGGTTTTTTTCCTACCAACACACGTACCATCGCACATTTTAGTTACAACTGATTTCGGTACCTTTTTTTTTGGGGCTGTCTTTTTTCCCCTACTTCTGCTTTGTCTTCAGTAATTGGACCTTTAATTGAAATAAACCACAAATTGTATATGTCTACAAAATTTCTATGTAAGTAGACTCTTTAGGAATTAATTACACACTACTCTACTCAACGTACGAACGAACGAACGAACGACAAACGCTCATTACTGTCAGAGAGAAGAAAAGCAAAGCAAAGAAAAAAGGAAAAACCAAAAATAAATTTGAAAGTAAAAGAAAACTTAGATGGAAACCCCAGAAATTTGTAATAGGAGTAACGATTTTTTTCTGTTGGTTGGTTGGTTGGCTTCAATAAAAAAAATAAAAGTAAATTAAAGTTAAAATTGAATGTCACAACAGTTGTGGCTGGGTGACCAAAATGAAAACAGAGAAAAAAATCTTTAAGGCCTTTCTGAGTATAAAATTGAGGGGAAATTAATATAGGGAACACATAAGAGAGCGAGAGAGAAACATATTTCAAAACTTTACTAGAGAGACCTAAATGTCTTCAATAGAATACCTTTTCGTAAGAAGAACACAAGAGGTCTTCTCTTAAGAAGAAGATGTTTCTCTTAACAGGAAGAGGAGATCTTCTCTTAAGAAGAAGAGTTCTTCTCTTAAGAAGGGCAGAATATGTCTTCTTGTAAAGAAAAAAAGAAGGTCTTCTACTATGGAATACCACGAGGTCTTCTTCCACAGAAGACTACGAGGTCTTCTTCCACAGAAGACCACGAGGTCTTCTTCCACAGAAGACTACGAGGTCATCTTCCACAGAAGTCCACGAGGTCTTCTTCTACAGAAGTCCACGAGGTCTTCTTCTACAGAAGTCCACGAGGTCTTCTTCCACAGAAGTCCACGAGGTCTTCTGTAGAAGAAGTCCACGAGGTCTTCTTCTACAGAAGTCCACGAGGTCTTCTTCTACAGAAGACCACGAGGCCTTCTTCCGCAGAAGACCACAAGGTCTTCTTCCACAGAAGACCACAAGGTCTTCTTCCACAGAAGACCACAAGGTCTTCTTCTTCCACAGAAGACCACAAGGTCTTCTTCCACAGAAAACCACAAGGTCTTCTTCCACAGAAGATCACAAGGTCTTCTTCCACAGAAGACCACAAGGTCTTCTTCCACAGAAGACCACAAGGTCTTCTTCCACAGAAGACCACAAGATCTTCTTCCACAGAAGACCACAAGGTCTTCTTCGACAGAAGACCACAAGGTCTTCTTCGACAGAAAACCACAAGATCTTCTTCTTCAGAAGATCACAAGGTCTTCTTCCACAGAAGACCACAAGGTCTTCTTCCACAGAAGACCACAAGGTCTTCTTCGACAGAAGACCACAAGGTCTTCTTCGACAGAAGACCACGAGGTCTTCTTCCACAGAAGACCACGAGGACTTCTTTCACTGAAGACCGCGAGGTCTTTTTCCACTGAAAGCCACGAATACTTCTTTCACAGAAGACCACGAGGTCTTCTTCCACAAAAGACCACGAGTCTTCTTCCATAGAAGACCACGAGGTCATCTTCGATAGTAGACCAAGAGGTCATCTTCCAAAAAAAAAACTCCTCTTCTTTAGAAGACCCCAAGGTCTTTTACTATAGAAGACCATAGGACCATACCATAAAGGACCATACGGTCTTCTACCATAGACGACCGTAGGGTCTTCTATCATAGTAAACCATGGGTCTTATAGGTCTTCTTCTATAGAACACTACAGGGTTTTTTGTTATAAAAGACCTTCTTCTATAGAAAACTACGTGGTTTTGTGTTATAGAATACCGTAAGAGGTCTTCTTCGAAAGAAGATGGTAAGATGTCTTCATCGATAGAAGGCTGAAAAAGATATTCTTCAAAGAACAGAATAGGTATTTTCCTTTAGAAGACCAGAATTGGTCTTCTTCTATAGAATGGCAGAAGAGGTCTTCTATAGAAGACCAAAAGAGTTCTACTTCTTCCATAGAAGACGAGAAGAGTATTTCTTCTTCCATAGAGGACCACGAGGTCTTCTTTTTCTATAGAAGACAAGGAGGCCACAAGGTCTTCTGCTATAGGAGACCACAAGGTCTTCTACTATAGAAGACCACAAGGTCTTCTGCTATAGACGACAACAAGGTCTTCTGCTATAGACGACAACAAGGTCTTCCGCTATAGACGACAACAAGGTCTTCCGCTATAGACGACTAACGGGTGGTCCATTTTAGAAGACCAAGAGGTCGCCATCAGATGGATGTTCGGAATGAATTGATTTCATTATTTCCATATTTGACTCCCTAAACCCAACTTGGCAGCCCTGCCGCACCCATAATAAAGAAGTATACAACTTTTGTGATAATAAAATATTTTGCTGGCATTTTATGGACTTGTTCATTAAAAATTATTTGCTGTAGTTTCGTTTTTTTGGTTGTTGTTCCTGTTGTTATATTAGCTTTGATGATCTTCCCTAATGCCACCATATACACCAAAGGCAAGCCGTGCAGCAGCAGCGAGCAAGGCTCACTCAAACAAACAGTTTACATAATTAACATGTGAACTCATTAAAAACTTGTTGCAACTTCATAAACAAGATAAAAATTAAACTACGCTGATGACGATGATGACGACGACACGAAATACAGGAAAGAAAAAGCCAAGGCAAAAAAAATGAAACTGCATTCTAAACTTTTCACAGCAAACACACACGAACACACTGGGGGAGAGGGCACATGGTTACAAATATGTAGGTTTGCCTATAAAACGTTTATAAGAAAATATTCCAAAGACATACGGTTTGCATGTATGCTGGCTGGATGGCAATGCTGACACCTATGGCCAAAGAAAGAAAAAAAGACAAAAACTTAAAGAGGAAGTGAGACTTTACGCCTCATATGCTGTCAATCGTTTGCCCTCTAGAGTATTTAAACATTGCCTGACTGGTGCCGTGCTTACTTGCCATGATGATGATGCACACCTTACCTCTTGGGGAGTGTTTTTTTTTCGTTACTTCTTCCTGGCCACAGAAGGCGATGAGGTCGCAAACATAGACAACTTTGCGATCACCAACTGCAAAGAAAGGAAAAACAGAAAAAAAATGAATACCCATTTGCAGCTGTTTCACAAGGCAACATGGAATAGCAACACTGCCAGCAACAACTGACAACATTGTCGACGCTTCGCCGTTGTCATCGTCATGCAAGTGTTTAAGTGTGTTGCTGAAATGTTTATTGCACCCTACAATGAACCGCCAATGAATGCACCGCCGGAACAAAACTTCTGTGTGTGTGACAATGTTGGCTAGATTGCCATACGACCGAACGAACCATAAAGATCAATATTTTATTATGGAAATTGATTGGTGCGCTCAGTCGCTAGTCGTTTTATGAGATATTTTATGGCCCCCGAACAAGGGCAGATGTTTGCAAGGGCTCATATTTTCTCCTTCGCATTACCAATAACAGAAAGGGATTACTTTATCCTAGTATGCTGATTGTAATGATGATGTTCAGTGAACTAGAACCTAGATTTAACTAAGCATAACAAGTAACAATTAGGTATTGATTAAAAATTGACAGCCTGTCGCAGCTTGTCGTATAAAACAAGGTTTTATGTTCAAAAATTGTGGGAACGAAAGATTTTGCAGAAAAATCTGAAGGAATTAAATCTGATAGTATGAAAGGAAATTAAGTGGTCACGATATGTTGGAATGGACGTCGAACTTTTTCAATGGACATCGAACTATGTAAAGGATTGCCAACATACATATATGCACACATTCATACACGCAAAAAAATATAAGCCTCTCTAACATATGTCCCAAACATATTTTGCAGCAAACAAATATATGTTTGCAAACATTCCCAAACATAACATATGTTTGGGTGCTGCAAACAAATTATGTTTGGGTCCAAACATAATTAATGTTTGGGTCCAAACATAATTAATGTTTGGGTCCAAACATAATTAATGTTTGGGTCCAAACATAATTAATGTTTGGGTCCAAACATAATTAATGTTTGGGTCCAAACATAATTAATGTTTGGGTCCAAACATAATTAATGTTTGGGTCCAAACATAATTAATGTTTGGGTCCAAACATATTTTTTGTTCGGGTGCAAACATAATTTATGTTTGGACCCAAACATAATATATATTGGGGTGCAAACATAAATTATGATTGGGTCCATTTGTATACTTACTGCAGATATAATTCAACCATAATGCAAACTAGTTTTAAAATCAATTTTTGATATTCACATTTTATTTAACATAAAAGAAATTCATACATATTATAATATATAATATAAAATTAATTGTAATAATTAATATAATATTAATATCAGTAATAAAAAATTGTTAAAAATAATAATATTAAAATAAAAATTCTAATTATAAAAATATTAAAGAAAATAAATAATTTATAATGAAACATAGTTTTTTATTTTCTTTAATATTTTATAATTAGAATTTTTATTTTAATATTATTATTTTTAACAATTTTTTATTACTGATATTAATATTATATTAATTATTACAATTTTATTATGCTTAAATTAATCTTATGTTTCTAATATTAATTTATTATGTTTTAATTTTATAAATAATATATTGTTGTTATTGATAAAATAAAATAAACATTTGTTAATAAGTTTATAATTTATATCGTGCCAGTTTTCATAAAATTTTTATTTTATATTAATTTTTTAATTTATTATTATTAATATTATTCTTAATATTTGTTATTATTTTATTTATTAATTTATTATTTTTCCTTTTATTACAATCACTATTTTTTCAATAAAGTAAAATACTTACAATCTGTTAGGGTCTTCTTTTAGACATTCGTCAATAAGGGCCTTCGAAATATTCACCATAACTCTCCATATTTTGTTGACAGCCGGAATTGACTTGATGGACTCTATGTCAGTCTTTAAAGTTGAAATAACATTTGTTTTTGGGGTAAGATCCCCAAAACCACCTACGGATTCACACTCCGATAGAGTGCCACTAACTGTCGATGCTGATGCCACTGATCGAACGGAGTCTAAATGAAAATTAAATATATTATTTAAAAAAAGAATATATTATTTAAAAAAAGAAAAAAATATTAACAGCCTGTTTCTTTATTTTGAAACGAAATTTTTTTTGTTCCGACATAAAGAAACAGGCTGTAAATCCAGTGTACTTACCTCCAAATTGCAACTCAATATGAAAAGTAGGTGTTGACATATATTGATGAATTACTTTTCAAACTGGTCTTCTTTAATGGTTGCACCAAACACTAAGGCTGTTATTTTTCTTGAGGCATCAATTTTTAACTCTAATTTGGCTGCTTTTATAAAGCTTTGTAGATTTAAAGGCTCCGGCGCTTCGACAAATAATTTGTCTTCCCCCAAAACAGTTGGTATCAACATTTATTACAACACTTGTGACACGACGCGAAGGCACAAACAAATAAAAAGAATATAAAAAGAACACAACCAGAATGCCAACATGAGACACGCGCAAATGTTACGCTCTTTTGTTCTCATCAAGCAAATCGGTGTGTATGCGAAAAACGCATGTATGTATGTATGCATGAACATTAGTAAGAAGCAACGTCTCAGCAACAAAAAAAACATCCAAACAGCTCTTTGTGTGTTGTTGTTGGCATTTTTTGGTGCATGGACAATAGAGAGGAAAAAAAACGTCTCAGCAACAGTTTCCATCCCTCTTGCCGCGTCTCAACTTGAGACACGCGCCAATGTTACGCTCTTTTGCTCTCACCAAGCAAACACTGCCGATCGCTGATGGAACTATGTGTGGTGTGTGCGCGGCAAGAGGGATGGAAACTGTTGCTGAGACGTTTATTTCTTTTCTATTGTCCATGCACCAAAAAATGCCTACTTGAGAAAGAAAACGTTACAACAACAACACACAAAAAATTGACTCCTCTGTATATATGTCGGTGTTAATGCGAAAAACGCATGTATGTATGTATGCATGAACATTAGTAAGAAGTAACGTCTCAGCAACAACTAGAAAATTCACACCGCACAACAGCAACGAAAAAACATGCAAAAGTTTTTTCGTTGTTGTTGTTGTGCGGTGTGTATTTTCTAGTTGTTGCTGAGACGTTACTTCTTACTAATGTTCATGCATACATACAACTTCTATTTACAGTCATATTTGGAAGAGAGCAAAAAATGTTTCGGTTCTGCTTTGTTGTGCGGCCAACCAAGCCAACACATCATCAACGCAAAAACAGACTTCTCAAAAGTAATCGAGAGCTCTGTTGTTTAGCTCTTTGAAAAAAATCCTCTCCGCACCCATAAAAAATATGTTCTAACATATAAAATATGTTGGTACCCAACAAATAAAATTGAGTTATGTTACAAAATGTTGCAAACAAATATTTGTTTGCACCGAAACAAATTATGTTTGCATCCAAAATATATTTGTTTGCAACCAGTCCCAAACAAATATATGTTTGGATCCAAACATATTTCTAACATATATTTTTCTGCGTGTACATGTGTGAAATGTTCGTACCCATTTTTTGCGATCTTGTTCATTATCTTCGTCTATGTATGATTTTTCTCAATCGGCGAAAATTTAGGAACCTCTTCAGTAAAACCCGAATGACCATAGTTACCTTATCTGGGATCTAAGAAGACTGGAACACCTTAAAGAGCGGCTAG